CTTGCAGTTCGGATTGGATAAATTATACCAGCTAACAATGCCTGTTAAATTGGGTTATTCTTCAGGGTGTTTGGTATAAACCTTTGCCTATACTTTCTAAATTGCCTTCACTTTTGCTTTACTTCACTTTTCAAAGTATGTTTCTACATAATCATGATTACTATGAGCAGTGACCATGTAAAATATGACATATATTCGTGCACGAATTCACACTCTTCGGTGTGGATTTTCCCAAGTCTTTTGAGCAGATTTTCTTCAGTCAAAGATTGTCTGAAAGATTTTGTGTGTCTTAATTAGCCTTGTAAAACTTAGGTGGATTTGATTCTACAAGTTAACTGTCTGATTATACATATTCACACACACACACACACACACACACACACACACACACACACACATACATTGTGCCCACAAATAGGGTGAAATTCACAGTAAAATTCTGTACTTTTAAAGTCTCTGCCATGCCTTAGCTTTACCTTCCCTAATGTTTTTAAATAGTTAATGAAGATTGTACTCAAATTCTCTATCTTAATACTTAGGGGGCTTAAACTTTAAATATTAACAACCCAATTTGAGATTAGTGAGACGGGTCTAGTTGTTAGGCTGGTCGACCCGTTATATTTAAAAAAAAAAATACTCAAAATGTTATACTTTTGTTAAATATTATAACATTTATGGAGAAAGTAATGTTTAATATGATAGTAATATTTTTTTTTTCAGAAAAAAAAAAATCAAGATATTTTCTGGTGAAGCTTGGGAACAAAGGTACCCACTAAACTCCAATGGGAACTTTTTGAAGTTTGACCTTTTTTTCTCCTCTGTTATTACACCGCTGTTTCCATGTCCGTATATTCTTCTTTATCAGTCAAAAATCAAAGTAGATGCAAAAATTGAATTGAAAATCTACACCTACAAAATTTTATCTCCTTTGTCTATAATGATGTGTGGACAAAAAAAAATAAAATGTGGGAATAATGAAAGAAAAATATTAAATTAAATGGAAAATATATGTACTATGAGATTGTTGTGAAAATATGGTGTTTTAGAACAAGTGCATATCAATATAGTTTAAAGGTCAATATGATACCAAATGCATGTTTAATACTCATTCAACTTATGTCAGAATTGATCGTTGTTTCACAAATTTTTGTATGAGACATCCTAGCTGTTAGACGTGTTGGTATATCATACATTTTTTTTATAATCAAAATGTTTTTTTTTTTTTCATCTAATGTAATGTCATCTGAAAATATACTGGTGAAATATCGTTAATTCTGTCTGAGTGTCGTTTTAGGAAGTTTCACTAAAATTACAAAAATATTAATTAAACTTGACCTATAGATTCTTAGAATTCAAATGTAGTAAAAAATAAAAAAAAAAATCCCACTTCATTTATAGAAAATTATTTAGTTGGGAATAGTAAATACATCATATTGGGAGCATACAAGAGTAAAAATTTGAATTTCTACTTTGGAACAAAATTTATACCCTTAAAATGTCAATTAATTTGGGATGGGTTGAATATTAATATGTTGTGTGAACAAGAAATATGTTTGGGCCCCATTTTCATGACTTCATTTGTTGCCTGCACTCTGTTTATCATATGAGATCTTAACAATTACATTAAAGTCAGGGTCAAAAATAAAAAAAAATCAGCCCTTGGATTTTTATGTTTGGTATGGGCCGAACATAATAATGATATCTAAATCCTGTGTTTTATACTGTTGGGTTTAATTTGTAAAACTAGTACAACACGCGTGCTGTTTACGAAACTTACCTTTTAAATTATATATAAAAAATAAAATGCAAAATAGTTACATATATACTCATAAATATATTTTAAATTTAATTATCAAACTAAATTTAAAAAATATAAAAAAAAACTATAAATTATCTTTTGAAGTAGTATATATAAATTTATTCTTATAAACATATATTATAATATTTGTTTTAATTGAAAATAATTTGTATAAACTAATAATGAACATAAAATAAATACAAAAACTTATTAAAAATATATGTCTCAACTTAAATAAAAACTACGAAGAGACTGAACATTATAATTTATATAAAAATTAATAAAAAAATATCAATTATTGATAAAATAATTAATATATTTCATAAAGTTTAAAAATATTACACCCACATACATTATATTTTAATTATTGAATATTTTAAAGTTGAATATATTTAAAAATATAAAGGACGAGGGAAGAAAATTATGTATATAAAATATTAATCATAATAGAAGAGGGAAGAAAATTGTGTATATAAAATATTAATCAAACTTAAAAAATATAAATTAATTCAAAATAAAATTTGATGAGTTGTAGGTAATATAAATATATGTGCGTGTGTGTGTGTTTGTAATTTAAAAAAAAAAAATATAATTTTAACAAGTCCAATGTAAAATATAGGTATTATTTTAAATAATCAACTTTGTTAATTTTTAATTAAATTTATACTTAACTTTTTATTATCATTATATTATAAGAATATAATTTTCTTTACTTATTTATTTTGATACTAGTATTATATTTGTATTTTAATGCATCTTTGTTGTTCATAGACGTTATATTAACTGCAAAAAAAAAATTAATTATTCTATTTAATTTAGGAAAAAATAAATATATCCTAAATAAAACAATTAATATTTCATACAAAATATGTTTCTAGAATTTAATTTAATATTGCAAAATTATTTTGTTTTATTATGTTGATTACCATAAATATGTTGATTATTTATGGTTATCTTACATGTATTAATTGTATTTTAATATCATTCCTTATTATAACTATTGAATTGTATATATATTTTAAAAGTTAATAACTTTTGTATTTTTTATCAGTTTTACATATGTAATATATCAAATTAATCTTATTTTGATGAGTTTCGATTTAACATTCATATTGTATGTATAATAAAATTAATACACGGGTGTTGTACTAGTATATATATATAATTTTAACAAATACAATGTAAAACATAGGTATTATTTTAAATAATGAACTTTGTTAATTTCTAATTAGTAGATTCATCTTTAATTTTTTTATCATTATATTATAAGTATATAATTTTCTTTACTTGTTTTTGATACTAGTATTTTTTTTTTATTTTAATGCATCTATGTTGTTCATGGACGTTATATTAACTGCAAACTAAGTTAATTATTCTATTTAATTTAGAAAAAAATAAATATA